GCGATCATGCGCTTTTGTTTGGGGTCATTAAAATAGGAATTTCTAACTGGGTCTGTTGGATGCAAATATGCTACCGACGGTGAATCACGTGATTGCCATAAGATGTTTCCCAGTCAAGGGTGATTGTCGTTCCATGCATGACAAACTGTGACAGCCTCACAGCCAAACTGACAAATACCGGTTTTATATACACATACCTCCAGACTATGGGTAACTGAATACAACTGGGATATCGAAGACATACTACTTAGACAGATGCGGCTGTCTAAGTTGTACTTCATAAGTAATATGTCGGTTGCGTGCTGTCTGTGAATTTTTTTGAGCAGTTCACATTTTACCAGGAATTGCGATCTTGTGCTATCACCAATTTCCGTTGTTGACAGTCAGAATGGCAAGTTAGTGTGTGAGCTAACTGACCACGGCCTGCTTACCACATGGCTGATTGGATCTCCTAACATTTTAGCGTTTGTATTGTCTCTACAGTGAACTTAAGCCGTCGAATCAAACTGCCTTCCCCAGATTTTTTTTATCAGAATCAGAAGTTGGAAATAATGCTATGGGCCGCCGGTGGTTGGTTGCTTGCTAACACCACTGACTTGTCATGATTTAACCGGGCATCTAAGGGAGTTCAGGGCCACTGCCTCTAAAGAGGAAGTAATGCCAAGCAATCGATGAATTGCAGCACAATTCAAAATCCACCAGCTTGTTGTTCGACAAGACGACGCAGCTGATTCAGTTGTACACGAGACCTGGAGCAGAATAGGCCGTACACTGATAAGTTTATCGGCGTGGTCAGTGTTCAAAGTTGGCTGAGTTTTATAGTGAGGGAAATTCAGCGTATACTTCTTCCCAATTAGTTTTGTTTACCATGAAACGGCTGCGTTTTTTTATTCCCTTGTAGGGGTAATTCTTTTAGTCCCCCAACATAATTTCTCATCTTTTCACGATGGGGGTGGGGTCACCTGGTGTACAAAAGTGAAAGACACAAAAGGGTCAGTCTTTGTTAAGCTAAACAAACAGGTTTGCCAGCTTGAGTTTCCCAACTCAAACTATTAGAGGATTGTATGCTACGTGGAAGTTGAGATGTTCTACATCGTTTTCTTCTTTGCCATTGTACGCATGTTAAACTCACATCTAACCTACTAATCATAGCAGTTTGAATTGACCACAGGATGTGCGGAGGCCGCAGTGTCGCACATGACTACGGGGGATCGGAATTTTTCCAGAGATGCGAGCCATGTTAATCGTCACGGGGAATGTACATTCCGTTGTCCATTTCCAAAGAGACCATCAACAGGTAAGACGAGATAAAACCCAGTCGGTTTTTGAATGTTATTTTGACAGGGTCGAGAAGAAGGGTCAAGAAGGGTCAAGAAGAAAAACATTGAAAAGAGACCGCTTCCGTATCGTACGTTGTAGTGACCTATACAGAAGGGGCAACTACATTACCATGCCCTTGTTGAGTAGATACACAGTGTCAAGTAAAAACTCATGCACTATCCTATGAAGTTCACTCGGACAGTCAGATATGGCCCAAGATTGACCGAAAAAGTCTTTTTACTAAGACTGTAAATAGCGACTTTGCTCAAAACGCCAGTCTGCACAACTCTGTTGTTCACCAACCATCCATGAGCGAATCAGTTGTAGAATTTTTCTACCATGAGCTGAACAACGCTTATGGAAACGACTCATGTGTGAGGTGAGCTTAAACTATTCGCCGGGAAAGTACTCGTGCCGATGAAAAGTTGGTACGCACTTGAATCTGACTTGTATGTTTGAACGAGATGTGAAACAATCCATGGTTGCAGTACATACCTAGCCTGTTCACTGAAGTGCTGCTTTGACCTCATTGCTGTGTACTTTTAAGGTGAGTCTTCGGGAGGTTCTTGGGTCAACCGTTTCAAATAAGGTAATTAGCACAGCTTACTGAAACTTGTCACATGAATTTTCAGTTCTTTACCGCTGGAAATGAGATCTTTATGTTTACTTCGGAGCAGCCATCGAGTTGTGCTGAAGTATCTTTAAAGGTTCTGGGCACTTCAGCGATACCAGCCGATGGCTGTGTGACATAAGGACGTACAGTTTACCCGCTTGTCTGTTGCTCTATTTCTTTGAACTGCCGAAAAGCGCCGTTGGGTGACAACCACATATCCTACAGTAACCTGAGGGAAAGTGTTCGAGTGAATTGACTCACTTCGGTGTTCCCGAGGAATCGCAGTCTGTCTTTGTAAGTGATCCCCGTTTGAAGAGGTTCATTGAACTATATGATCGGGAAAAACCGGACTAGTTAGACGTTTTTTTATTTCCGAGGGATTCTCCATTTAGCTCCCGTTTGTCTTCTGTACACTTCACAGAAGGTGAATGGGGGAAATGTTTCTTTGCCTCCCAACAATCCTGTAGGTCCCTGTAGGTTTTAGGGGCGAGCAAGGCACTGTCCTCTTGGGGGCATGTTGTGATAAACTGATTTTACGGTAATCGTGAGGATGGGTATTCCGCATTAATCTATACCAAGAGAGAGAAGTACATCAGATTCATCATCAACATTAACGTCAATAACACAAATTAGAACATATGATTGGGAAACCAGTCTAAATTTAGAGCAGTCGACTGATAAACCATACTCGAATGCAGGTGTGAGACGATTAACAACAGTGGAATTTCGCAGCTCAATAACACCAACAGAAGGTGCGTTATTTGGCTCCAAGCTAGCAGTAACAAGCGATCAGCCCCTAACTGGGTAACTGACAGATTCCGTGATGGTCTGAAATTATGACAACGTCCGACAGTAGTCAAAGTCGCTTCATAATGATTTACTGGTTCAATTACTGAAATTTTGTAAGTAGCTTGTAATGAAGCCGTTTAATACATTCTTGTCGACAGTAGTCTCCGAAAGCCTGCCTCAATAAGTGGGGATTCCTCGTTTCAACGGAGACCTCAAATACTGTTGACACGCGTTTCGCCATATCTCCACGAAAATAGTGCCACTTGGCTGACTTCGAAACCAATAAAAACGCGGTACGAAAAAACATACATGGGTGCATCGCAAACCTCAACAGTTAAGCCAACCATACGATATAGACACTTGCGATCACCAACTAAGAAACATGAATCAAAACGCTGGCTTAGAAATATGAATGTAGTTATCAAGGGTACCACCATGCCCACAGAACGACCGTTTCTCGATCAAGAAGTAGACTTCATGGGTAAAGCGATAGATTTGGGTTCCTCTATAAAAATTGCTCAGGTTACTGTAGAATTAAAAATAAATGATCACTTCCAAGAGATCAAGTGTTCAGCTGCTTAGGAAACACTTACAGTGGACAATAGGAGAATAGCTAAATCACCCTTTATTGCGCTACTGACGTACAGGTAGACCGTGAATACGAGCCGTATGTTACGATCACATGTACTATAAGAATAAACAATTCTTTATCTTGGAAGCCGGGAAGTTAGCTTGAGAACATATGTTAATCTCTGTCTGATGCCAAAGGAGTAAGTTGGTGCCCAGACCGATCAGGCTTAACCTAAAGCTAGAGGATTCCGGCTTGTAGATGAATGTTTTTGGGCAATACCCAACTGCCTGATTACTGACAGTACGATACGGAGGTCTAGGTTATGGACACCACCGGGAGTTTTGCCAGAGTATTATTGGCCGTTTTGTAGAGCTGGTGCATACGGCATGGCTGCATAGTTTGTCTTAACAGTGTTATGCTAAAGGTCTTATTTCCGTCTAGTTCGCAGGAGTGTCCGGCGCCCTATAAATAACAAGTTAAGCTGAACAAGGAACAGCGTAACCGGGCTGACGGTAGAACTGTTCTTATGAGGAAGAGTGCTAGTAACCGGTACCCGGTATTCTCTTGCAGCGCGCGTTTTACGGGCGCGGGCTTGCGTTCATAAGCCCCGGAAAAGGGCTGTTCGCCTCGTATACAGATAACAGTAGCGCTGGTGGTCCTCAAATTTTACAGCTCAGTGCCAGGAGTTCCCCAGTGGATGAGTTCAATATGGTCGGCCATTTTCCGTCTGCAGGCTGGAAGGAGACGCAATCACAAACCGGGCAGAATCCACATGGACTGAATACACCTACATGTTCGTAATGTGTTGGAATATTGGTAGCTCGGGTGCATTAGTTGGTAATTGATCGGGTGGCTGTTGATCTGTTCGCCGAGCTTGGCAACCAAGCTTGCAAAGCAATTGCCAAGTTCGGCAAACAGATCAACAGCCACCTGATCAACTGCCAACATCTACATGTATACTGAGCCAGGACGATATATCATGTATGGATACTGAAACGGCCTTCCACTACCAGGCACCGTCGCATTTCATGATTAATTAACTTGCGCTTCACTGGATGGTTCTTTTACCAATTTTAATTAAACTAGTAACTTGATTTCGAGTTTTGCCATCGGGATCTGGCTGATCTTTCTACTGATGGGGGAAAACGTGGCCACTCGAGCCAATCAATAGCGAAGAAGAAATGCGCGCCAGACGGACGGTTTAAACAAATCTCACTGAAATTTTGGCTTATGACAGCATTGGGGCTTCGTACAGGTATCAGCTAGTATAACATTTCCGTCCGGCGTTCTTTGATTTTTGGGAGCATTCATGTAAGTTTCTGAAAACAATTGGAATACCTAGACCTACCGAAATATGCACTTAGCTGAAAACGAAAACATTTTCCAAACATTTCTGCGGAAAGAATGAGGGGTGCGTTTTTATGTCTATGTTGTCGAGCTTCTCTGTCCAAATCTGCTGCTAGTGCCTCTGCCTAAATGAGGAGGCATCTGTCCTTGCAACTTTGGAAGCGCAACGGCCTGGCGCGCTGTGATGCTGGGACCCAAACTAGGGCACCTCACAAAATTTGATATCAAACGTCCGCTTATAGCCTGATTGGGTTTTCTTTGATTTCTGTTTGGCCTAGCAGTGTTACGGTGGTTTGCGTTGCTAATCCAGAGTACGATATAAGTTTCATCATAAAAGAGGAGACGATCAGTCTTTTACTTAACTGCTATATCCAGCTTCCTCTGATCCCAAGAAATTTGTTATAGCTATAAAAGTGCTCATCTTAGTTTTACTCTTTTTCTGGCCTTTTGTCTGGAGAGAAAATACTGTAGAAAACTCCTGCTCACTTCAGAGTAAGGCCGAGTTTTCTTAGTGCAACACTATACTTCTTGAAATGAACACTGTCGCTCGATGGATTTGAGAGGTCTGCATGTATGACGCAAACGATAGTAAGGTGTGCATTGCTGGTGAGTCTCAATAAGGGTGAAACGGCCGTACAGTGCTTTTCGGTTCTTCATTGTCAACTGTCTGCAGTTGCAGGATGAAATCTCGGTTGGGATTTACCGAACGTCTTCACAATGCAATCATTCTATAAATAGCCTAGAAGAAAAATATTTTTGCGGGGTGAGAATTTGTTACTCGGAGAGCTAATTGTGACAATTTTCAGCTGTGATAAATTCCTACCGTGGAATTTACTTCTAACACTCGAACTATCAGTGGAGAATATCTTTCTTACTCTGGATACATTCTTCGCCGCCGAATACGATTACTGCACAACATTTCGTGTAGTGGGATTATTGAACCCCCAATTTAGTGAGTCTGTTCCATTCACTTGTCCATTTCTTATTGCCATTTGTTGTTTCTAACCTGATATTTTGATTGTATATTTCATTGAACACGCATACTTAGGTCCTTGTCCGCTACATAATCAATGCGTTACCACATAACGTGGTTGTGATGAGTGAAGAATGAGTGGCCATGAATCCTGCATAAGTCCGATACGTCACAGTGTTGATCAGCCACGAATGGCTACTTGGTCAAGTGCCCAGACTAGCATTGAGGTCACGGGTTCAAGATCCCACGAATTTTTGCGGGATGTACACCGCTAATGATTTCCAATAAGGAGTTAACAGCTGTACGGTGCGTCTCAGAAACTCAGCGTGGGTTGCAATCTCATGGAAAAAAACCTCCATTGGAAGCGATCAAAAATTCTTGCACTGCCATCAGTAATGGGTCATATCTCTCTTTCCTTATCAGGCCTAAATGACCTAAACCAA